AAAAAGAAACATTTTACGGACTGAAATGAGTCCGTAAAATAGCTGTTTTTGGGAGCGTATGACAAAAAAGTATTTTTTGATGCATTTTTTGGTTGTTTATGCACGTTGGCTTGGTTTATGTTTTATTCAGCTTATATTTATTTGGTATAACAGTTTTTTTTGCCTTTGGAATGGCATGCATTGAGGCTAGATAGTGTTTCATTAGATCATTAAAGGAATTTAAATTAGCATATATTTTTTGTGGTATTAGTGTGTTATCATGATACAGGTAGTTGTATCATAGTGCCTTATGCATGTTATTTACCTATTATATACTTATGTATTATCAGTAAATAAATGATAACATACTACTAAAATGTCTTTTTAATAGTATGTTTATCTTTCCAGTTCACTAGTTATTTGCAAAATGTATTTTGAACTAATTTAAGTCATTAATTGATCATCTTTCTTTTTCAGGTTCCGGGATATTCTTTTTCATTGTTAAAAAAATATATATATTTCAATATTATTGTAATATAAATCGCAGCTCTAAAAAATAAATGATATTGTTTACTATAATAATGTGTAATTTATTTACTATGAATTTTCTCTGAAAATAATAAGTCTTTAATATTATCAATGATTTGCTGTGTAAAGTTAATAGACATATTTTTTAATACATTAAATTATATTAAAGTAATAAAAAATATGTTTATTAACTTTAAACAGTAAGTGAGTGGTACTTATAAAAATATGTTTTTAAAAATTTCCCCTCTTTTAAACCCCGCCCCTCCAATTCCCCTCTTTTAAACCCCGCCCCTCCAATTCCCCTCAATTTAGCTAGTACTGCCAGGCGACACCAGGTGGCGTCTGTTTCCATTTTTTAACATGAAGTTAGCATTTCTTTAATGTACCTATTCTCTGGTTGCACATCTTTCCAAAATAATCACAATTTTATACGGTTTAGAAAGTTCAAATTCTTAGTACAAATTATACATTGTTATGGAAACCAACTTTTCATTGTCATCATATTGTCATAATCTTGTCATAATTATATGTCATAATCTTATTTCCATTGTGTAACGACGCTTGTTTTTTGCGTTTTTTTTTATTTTAAAAATTGTATTAATTACTCTTTTATCGACCACTTTTATATAACCAAGGATGCAAGTGTATTCATTGAGAAGTTAATTTTAAGTTTGTGCAATTATATTTCTATTTTTTTTTTCGTTTGACTTTCTAAATACTCGTAAAAATGACTAGAAAGTGTTTGGTGTGTAGAAGTTCTAATATAAAGGTCCCCGAATTATCTTTTCATAGGCAAGTAGAGTATTCAGTTGTTCTTTTATTTATATTAAACCACATGCATACTTTCTGGTTAGATTTCCTAAGAATATTGATATTCGTGCGGAGTAGTGATGAGCAGTTATCGGTAACTGTGACTTTGTCACTGATATTCTATAATCACAGTCACGGCCTGTGACTGATTTGAAAATAAACGGTGACTTGCTAAAGCGTGACGATCACAGTTAATTGTAATTTCTCTGGTGACGAGAAAATACTTCACAGAGCGGGACGTCGCGCGTCGCGAACGCAGCTGCCGATGGCGCCGGTCGTGACTCAGTTCACAGTCACGAGTCACGACGTACAGCTGGTTCCAAAAAAAATGAATACGACTCTTTACACATTTTTATTATTTCGGGCAGTATCTATGATTCTGACATTCTGAAAAATTTATTTGCCACTTTGTCAGAAGCAAAGTTGTTTTACACAATATCACAATTACCTTAACATGTCAAAATACTTGACACATAAATATACACTGCTCAAATATTCGAAAAAAAATGTGTAGTCGTATTCATTTTTTTGGAACCAGCTGTACGTCTCATAGGATAGATATCTGAGAAAGTGATCTAAAGACGGTGACTGTTAGAAGTGATTTAATTTTTTATGTATTTTATATTTTATTACTATTTTCTATCACTACGAATCGGTTTGGTCCCTTTTTAGTTTAGCAGGTTTTTTTAAAGGCAAACATAAAGTTTTACCTTTATACTGTTTATTTTTTTTAGAAGCTTTATTTTTTATATATTTCGTTTATTTTAATACAAAGGAAAATATTTGTTGTTTAATGTATTACTTATCTCGTGTTGTTAAGTTTCGTTCGTTATGGTTATGAGCATATTGCATATTTTATTCTTTACCCGTTGGTTTCTTTAAATAAAAAAATTGTTTTATTTTTATTTTTTAATATACCTTTTACCCACTGTTTAGTGTTTTCTATTTCAGCGGCCTTGGATAAAGGACAAAAAAAAATTAGTATAACAACAACAACAGAATCGTATCATTCGTATCGTATCTTATATTTTAGCCGTGATTGTGCTTTCGGATTCATAATCATAAAGTCGCAGTCACAGTTAAGAGTCACAGATAATACAAAGTCGCTGTCACAGGTAAGCCTGTGAACAGAAAATCACGGTTTGGCTTATCACTAGTACGGAGTGGCTAAATGTATTTTTCATATAATTTAATTTTTGTGACAGTAACCATTCTATTTATTGTTCAAACATAAGCATTTAACAAATTAAATTTTTAAAATTAATGTTCAAATTTGGCGCCCGGACGATAGGTCCTCGACAAGGACAGATAGAGTAGAAGCACCACGTGTGCAACAAAAAAAGAAGATAAATGGAAGTCGCTGATATGATTTGCGACAGTTTCCATAGTGATTTACTTATCCACGTAAGTATAAAATATGATCTAGGGATAATTACTAAAAAGAATATGCAGTAATTTACGAAATGCCGTAATGACGTTACCAATCTCTTTCATCTGATTGGCAAGTGATTGAGAGAGTTCGACAATATATGACGTGATGTTGATCGATGGCTGTACATTCTATACCGTGAAGTGTTTCTCAAAGTTGTATTATAGATTCTTGGTAGACATCTACTGAGAGTTGGAGAAGTGGTTCCAAGCTCCTGATCTGACAATCTGACATTTACTTCATGGTCGACGTCCAATTCTGGAGTTTTTTTTTAATTTATAAAACAAAAAATACCAATTGTATTGAACGAAATCAATATGGCTTGTGCCAAAAATCCAATAAAAGTAAAAAATTCCGGATAACTAAGTTTCTAAAGGTTCCGGACCTTGTTCCTACGCTTATTTCGGCCGGTTTATCGGCAAATTTATTCCAACTTTCGCAATATCTTTCAAATTTCCGCCTTCGGAAGGGCCCCGATCTGTTCCCTCCACCCGTTTGGCTTTTCCCTTTCTCATCTTTCAAACTTCATCGTTTCGACTTAAGCAGTTTACGCGAAATATTTCAATTATTAAATTTATGATCGCCTTTAATAATAAAATACTGCCGCCTTATTGTGTTATTTATAGTTATTAATTTTTTAAATTTTCATTAATTTAAACCGGGCATCTACCGGGTGTTTTTCAGAAGTGGCTCATTCATATAACTTTATTATTTTTTCAGATAATAAAACGAAATTTTGTAGGTTAGTTTATAACATAAATCGGGGTTGATTGACATATTCAATTATTAATTGATAATTATAATTTTTTTGTTTCACCGGAAATGACTAAATCCTTTGAATTTTAAATGGTACCGTTGATTGAAAGAATTGGGAAGATACGCAACCTAATAGGCGAATTCGTGAAATTGCTGATTTGATTTTCCCTTACGTCTCAAGTGCTGTAAGGTGGAGACACATACGTTCTGCGGTCAACGTATAAAACACTTACTTATTTTCTCTAATTCGGCCAGCGAAGGCATATCGAAGACGGTGTGATACGTTTGATGTGACTTGAAAATATCTTTGGATGAAAAATGCGCGTTTATCCATCACTAATTCGCCCTGTATTTCAGGAACTAAGGAGTCTAGGACAAACCTATCTGGGCTATCTGTAGTATATTTAGTTTCATAAAAAAGTAACAAAATAATGTGATCCGAAGGAATAAATAAAACAACATAAATAAAACAAGCTATTTTATTATTAATAACACTTACCAAATTTTATAGGTACCTTAAAGGTTGATTAATTAACTTTAATCTTAATTTTTTTAAACCAGTACCTTTGGCATTATATTTCTTGTGCAATACTAAAATCCATTATTTACCTATCGTTTGATGTCGATATTTTACAGCTACTCCAGTTTTTAGTATGTGTTTAGTATGGTCCTTCTACCATATTCGAGATGCACTTATCTACGACGAGATGGTATACGAATTTTTAAGATGGTAACTTTATTGGTGTATAAGACTTTTTGCCTGGGCAGCGAGTATTAACCATGAACTGTGCTCTGGGTCTACAGTTAATTTTCACTTGATTTTTCCTCCACTTAACTCAAAAGACACAAAACATACGTAATAACACGAATCAAAATGCATCATCTTCCAAAACGCAGGGTATTTGACAAAACTGACAAAAGTTGACACAAAATTATAACCTCTAATTTGGCAAGACTTTGACAAGCGTCAAAAATCTAAAGGCGAGTTCATACGCATCGGCGTCCGTTTGTCGTTCATCGTTCCGGCAAACCAAGGGCAAACCAATAAAATTGAAATACGATCTGTCATTTTTGAAATAAATCAATAAAACTGGTTAAAAACAACAAGAGACGACGCATGACGGATTTATATTTAAACCCATCCATAGTTAACTTGAAAATTATTAGAAACTTTTTTTAGTAAAATAAATTGATTGGTATGGGACGTCATCTGCTTTTCTTCTGTCATCGTCTGTCGAAATCTTACCTGAGAAAAAAAACAGAGTATAGTAATTGAAGTACAATAAAGAAGGTTTGACAATGGCATGTCGGGATGTTGGAGACATATTTTTTTAATGCTAAACTTATGGCGTTGATTTATCCATGTAAGTATAATATATGATCTAGGCTTAAAACGGTCTTAAAAATACCCCCTTCACAACAATTCTAAAGTAAAATCTACTATTCCAGTTAGTTTTAAACAAAAAACAAACACGGCTCCCCTTGTCTTTTCTCTTACCTTAAAAGCCTCTGTTGGAAACTCGGCCAAACTGGAATTGACGATGTGGAGCTCGTTGAGGCTGTTGTTCACCCCCAGGAAGGTAAAATCCTCCACCGCTTCCAAGGGGGTGTCCTCTATCCTTAAAATCCTCAGTTTGAGCTTGTACAAAAGGCTGCCGAACAATCGGGCTGCAACACAAAACATGTCATTGTTTAATTCCGGTGTGCTGGTGTGTATGTGCAGTGGGATTATTAGTTAAAAAGAAAAAAGTATTAGTTAAGTCCAGTGGAGAGGGGTAATAGGGTGAGTCTTAAATAAATGCCAATATTTTTTTCACAAATTTTTTTTCGGAAAATTTGGAATTTTTTGATTTTTTTTAATTTTTAATTAAAAAAACATAAATTTTTGATGATATGGTGACATAGGTAGTAGATTAAATTTACAAGAAAGACAACCCAGAAAAGATCCAGTGGTTTAGAAAAATTTAAGCAAAAAATTATTTTCTTGGAAAAATTTCAAAGTAAAATAACTCATTTTTTTTGGATTTATTTGAAAACCTGTAAAGAAAAAATATGTTTCTTTTATCGAGATCTACCAACCCTGAAAATATTTGCACTTATTTAAGACTGTATAGTTCAAGAAAATAGGCCATCAAAAACGAAGTTTTGGTAAAAACTTGAATTTTTGATATGAGTTACTTTGAAAGATCTACAACCGAATTGTGTAATATTTTTTTTAAATTCGCCCCCGAGAAAGGGTGAAAGAAATAAATAAAGTTATTTTTTCAAAATTTCGTAAGTACTAGAAAAAAAATGTTCAAATAAAAGTTGTGGAATGGCAAATTTTACATAGAAATAATATCTATACTTTTTTGCTCAAATCAAAATTAACCGAGATATGGTGGCTAGAAGCTAGGGGATGATAGTAAAAAATTTAAAAAAATATAAGTTGCTGGAAGATTCATATACAGGGTGGCGCCTCTCATACGCCGCGGAGGCTCCAAGGAGAACGACAGTTTGTATTGAAATGAAATTTTGTGAGCATATGTAGGTTAATTTAAAGCACTTTTTAAAAATATAAAGAGTTCTACAGGGTGTCCCCAAAAAAAGTTACAAATCAAAGTTGTGTTTTTTGTAACGGAACACTCTCTATATTAATTGATTTTCGGATTCTGGGAGAAAAATAAAGGTGAGTTTTATAAGAGAAGTATATGACTAAAATATAAGGTTTTTGACATATTTAACATTTTCTTAAAATAAAGAACAATTTTTAAATTACAATAAAAGCTACCTAAATTGGAATTTACCCGGTATAGCCTAATATATAATTAAATTAACTATTGTACTTCAAATCAAATCACTTGATCCAAAAAGTTATACAGGGTGAGAAAAAATTAATATTGAACATTGGCCACCTTTAAAAGCATGTTACTCTTTTATTTTAAATGGAACACCCAATATATTATTCCGATATTCAATAGAGAATTAATGTCTCTTCAATATACTATTAAAGTTGCCTACCCCTCAAGCAAGGATTTTCCTAGATATTGTCATTTACATGATTTGATCTGATTAGACCTTTATTATTTGATAAAATCTAGATGGCTGGTGATATGTCTGACGTTACTTCAACATAGCTGTCTAATTAGTTCAACTTTAACAACTAGTTATCATTTTGTATCAGTTAAAACAAAAACAAAAATTTCTCAGAAATTTGCCGAAAATGCAAACTTAACCTACATCAGAGAGAATTGATATGATTCTATTAGTACATGTTTGCAGGCATATGGATTAATTTATGTTTTAGTGCCTGATATGCGCACTGCATTCACCAATTAATAGAATACTTAAATGTTCTTGATTTTATCTAGTCTGAGCTTTTTTTATGGGGATATGTTAAAGACAGTGTTTCAAAACTCGACCAATTATTGTCGACAACATGTAGCTGCTTTCCGAAGTAGAACTCCACATATGCCTTGTAAAATGAAAAGATCTTTTGAAAAGACAATCATTTTATGCAGTTAGCAGGAAAGGTAGTTTTTTGAGCATTTGATTTCATCTAGCTAATTTTTGTCATATAATTATGGGTTTATATCTAGTTTAATTCTGTAATAATTAAAATATGTTTTAAATGTGAAAATTTTTATTACCGTTGAGTATTTTACTCTACATCCTTTAATTTTTGTTAAATTAACAACTATTATATCATAGCCACCTAAATTTTTCAAATAATAAAGATCTATTGACGCAAAATCATAAAAATTTAAATATCTCGGAAAATCTTTGTCTGAGAGGTAGGCAACCTTAATAATATTTTGAAGATATATAAATGCCTATGGAGGCTAGAAGGAGGAGGCGAATCGACAATGGGCATATTTGAAATTTCTGTCCCTACTTTAAAGCAAGTTTCTCGGTTTGATACCAGAGGCACTGTAAGCGGGTTAGATTGATCATTTGCATTGTTAGAATACGATTTTACTGTGTTTTTACTAGTTTTCTTTAAAATTTATAGTCGACGAAAAGGTAAGGCAAATTTTTCAATAAAAGCTGTCCCCTAGCTTCTAGACAGTTTTTTTTTGTCCAAAAATTTTAAATAGTTTTTTCTAATAAACAGTTAATGTTAGATATAGTGTGTTTAATATCAAAATTCATAAAATTTTACAGAGAATTTAACTATGTAATAAAAAATGGGGGGGATCCATTTAAAATAAGAAAGTTGCTGTTAACTCCCGGTATTTCCGGAAGTGCCGTCATATTGAAAATATTTTTAATCGATAGATCTCGTTGTGAAACAATGATGTGCAAAAAATCTCCGATCTAAATATTGTAGATCTCTAGAAGCTTCTAATGCACGCTCAGCCTGGGACACCCTGTATCTTTTACATAATATGACTGAATAAATGTGCGAATCTTACCAACGTGACAAGTGTTAAGTGTCAATCTTTCGATAGGCAGTTGAAACGTTGCCAGATTGTTCAGGGCCAGGCTCATGCTGGCCAGATTGGTGTTGTTGCAACTGACGTAGATGCCCTGGTCGCTCTCTATATCACAGCTGCAAGGATGTAACAGAAGCTTCTCCTTGGGACAGGCGTATTGAGGTCCTGGAGGGACATATGCTCCTTGGATGTTACGGAGAACGGTGAGTAGAATGAATAGACAGACAGAAATGAGTGGTTGGGTGAGTTTCATTTTGGTCGGTTTCCATTAATTCTGAAATTTTAAAATATAAAAATTAATATAGAAGGTAGTCCAAACTATATTCCGGAAACTTCGGCAGCATATTCTGCTGATAAAAATAAGTAAAACATTTCATATAAATCTATGCCCCAAAACGCTTAGTTTCGGAGATACAGGGTGTTGAAGTTTCATTTTTATTTCGATATATGTGTATAACAAGAAAAAAAATATTGATAATATTAAAGACGTGACAACATAGGCTGGATGAGGAAGGCTCGGTCGACTGTACCCAGAAGTAAACATGTGTACAAAAAAGGTTGTTTGTCCGCGTTGAGATGTAAATAGTGTAGTCTATATTTTATTTTAAGTCTATGGTTTTAACCTTTTAACTGTTTTGAAGAGTAATAACTTTTCGTTTGTACCTGTATAAAACTACTGAGTCAAAAAATATACATTTCCGACATTTTTTACAATTTTAAAAATCGCTACGAGTAATGGTTCTCGAAATATTTGGAATCTAAATTATCAATACCTGTCATCATTGACATAAACTAAACATGTTGACTAAATAGTTATAAGACTGAAATTATGAATTTGAAGTGTTTTTGTGCCAAAAGTTCAACAGAAACTGTTTTATCATCATTTTTTCGAAGAAAAGTTTCGACATTTTTCATTTCAGTCAAATAACTATCTACTCGACATATATTTATTTTTTGCCAATATTGACATGTATTGATTATTTCCATTCTAAATATCTTAAGAACGGTTGCTCGTAGCGATTTTTACCAAGAGATATTTTTTACATAAAAAATCACGGAAATGGAATATATTTTTTTACCCAGTAGTATTATACGGGTACGGATGAAAAGCTATTACTCTTCAAAACAGTTAAAACACATTTAGGTGGCGCTCACTACAAATAGGAGTCATATTAACATCAAAATCAAAATTCTCATGTGAAAAAAACTCCCACACACCAATTTTCATCAAAATATTGACGTTACTTCATAAATTATTTGGAAAAAATCGAAATAAAAATGAAACTTCTACACCCTGTATCTCCGAAATGAAGCATTTAGGACATACATTTATACTTTATACGAACTTTCTTACTTATTTTTATCTGCAGAATATGCTGTCAAAGTTTCTGGAATACAGTTTGGACCACACTGTATAACTAAATTTTTAATTTACAAAGTAAAATAACTTGTTTATTTTAGACCTATTCAGAAAATTCTAAAAAGAAAGTAGTGTTTATCTTAGCGAGATCTACCAACCCTGAAAATATTCAGTAGAAATTTTCAAAAAGCATTATTTTCTTAGCTTAAAATACATAAAACAAGGCAAATATATTAAAACAATTCCTGATCACACTGTATAATTTATACAGACCTTTATTAAAAATCTTAAAAATACTTCAAATTATTCAGAAATGTTTATAAATATTACTAAAACACGAAAAACTATTATAACAAGATTTTCTAGAAATTCATGATAATAAACCCATTTAAAATATGTCTTTATTTTCACAACAAATTAATAACTTTCTATAAATACTACTTACCAAATAATTTCTTTGGATCACAGCATAAATTTCACTAATTTTTGCACTAAATTATTACACTATCCTATATTGCACGCAAATTAAATAAAACAATAATTAAAAAACCTTTACATTGTCATCAGATCTTTTACTATTTCACTATAAACACGGAAATTCCGGATATTTTACAAGAACCTCGCATTGAAATCGGACAAAACGTCAAACAACTGAACCCACTTTTACCTATCAAGGTTCTTGAAGAACCCAGCCTGCAAGAAACGCTTAAGAAAGGAGAGTTTTCGTAAAAACCCGTTTAAAATTAATGTTTCTTTTATTTTAAACGGATTTCTCACAAAGTAAACCTAAAATTAACTTTATTTTGCTTTAAATTGTTTAGTATTATATGTATGTTATTAAAAAGTGCCGTATTTTTATTAAAAATTAATATTTTTAAGGTATAATAATTCAAAAACTCCTTCTTGTTACGTGCGGTCACTTTCAATTAATTTAGAACATTTTTATAACAGTTATAAAATTGACTAATAAAAAAAATTGGCAATAAAAGCAATTTCTTTAATCTTTTCGTCAGTTTGAATTATTATTGTTGCAATTTTTACAGTTTTTTTATATTTATTTCGTATTCTTTAAAATATTTCGAAATTCTTTGACATGACGCGACATCTATTGGACAATGCTTTAACTGCCTTGAAAAAAGCTTACTGTATAGTGGATCAATATTGCGTGGGACGATTGATTTAAATGTTAGTTTAGCAACTAGCAACCAGATGGCGCCATATCCGTTTGAGAGTGATTTCAACGTGATAATGGAGAAGAAAAACGTTTATTTAGAATTAAATTATTATTTATCTATAAAGTTATACAATAATGGGTGTTTAATAGTTTATCCACTCATTTGAAGCGTTTAAAATTATATTTTATCCACCTAATTGGATAGAGTAACTTTATTCCACTAGTGGAATACTGAAATTAAAAATACGAAATTTTTGTTTTATTTTAATTGACATTAACATTAAAATTTATATTAATAGACACTTCCTTTTGTTTGATTTGTCACATTTTTATTTCATTCTTGTTGATTTAGAACGCTTTTTCGTAATGTTCTCTAGACTTCGCATCAGGCAAAGTAAATGGGTAGTTGCTTTTTGAGATTACGCAAAAATTGCTGTTGGAATAACATCACATCATTTTGCATTTTCCCGTGATTTTTAAAAAATACTTTCTTAATTCTTAAAATAAAAGCTTCAACTTTATATTTTTTACAACACAGTTACCATAACAACAAATATGTACTATCTTTAATTCGATTTTAAAAAATAAGACTTGCTGCTAATTTTTCCTTTTAAATTTTGATAATTTTAAATAAATATTTTTTATTTTTTGAAAATTAAAAATCAGATATTCGAAAAAAAACTTAATGTTGTAAAATCGTTTTTATTTTTTCCTGGCATTTTTTGTAAATATCACAAAAGTATCACATTTTCCGATAACTACATCATATACAGGGTTGTTCACCACATACGACACGGAGTATTGTAGCTAAACGATTAGATTTTTACAAATTGTAAGTTTTGGGTTCGTTGAAGGTCTATTAGAGCTACAATTTAAAAATATTTTTACAAGATACAGAGTGTCCCAAATAAGTAAAAAATATTATAGTTGTATTTTTTTAAATGGAACACCCTGTATATTATTCTATTTTTGGATTCTACGATTGAAATAAAGGTAAAAATTTGATTAAGGTTTATCACACTTAAACCTTACCGTTTTTGAAATATTTTCAATTTTATGAAATTGCATTAAAAATTTTAATGCTTTATTTCTCCCAGGGTATCAAAGTTTTTAATACTAAATATTTACTGAAGATTATTTATTGATCAGATATTGTGTTGCAATAATAAAAATTTTACTACCTTATACAGAGTGTCCAAAAATTTATATTAAATAATTACTAGCTTTAAACGGCAATAACTTGTTTAATTTAAATGGAACACCCTATATATTTTACGTGAATCAGATGCACAATGTAATTGTCTATCAAATTGTATTATACCATTTTTACCCATCTCTTCAAGTTTTCGTAGAAAATGCATTTTCTTATAATTTAGACCTCATTTATCACTATACCCATGGAATATTGACATTTCATATTTTTTTATAGCACCATAATATGCACAAAATGTACTGGTGGTAAATATTCAAGCCCATTGGTATACAAAAAACTATTTAAATCTTTGTAAAAGAGTATACCAATTAAATATACCACCATTATTTCCTACCAAAAACACTAAAAATTAGTTAATTACATATTTTAAATTGTTTTAATTAATAAATTATTCTAAATAAATGTGGATTTGGCTCAGAAATCAATATAATAATAAGTTATGAAAATGAATGTCTCTATTTTTATAAATAAGCATTCGTCAATAAATGAAATAAAATTAATAAGGTGTTACTTTTTACCACACTGTCTAATACCCACAAAAAATTATTTTTTTTTATTATTTGGAGCAAGTATTACTACAACGTAAATAGTCAATTAATGTAGTTTGAATACTAAGATTATATTAATTGGTCCTCTAACAAAAAATATAACAGTTTTTATATTTTTTAATTAAATAAGCCAACTATATCGACAATATTAGTATCTGTACCCTTTGAAAATTTGTTACATCTTTAAAAATAAGCTGAAATGTCAATATTCCATGGGTATAGTGATAAATGAGGTCTAAATTATAAGAAAATGTATTTTCTATGAAAACTTGAAGAGATGGGTAAAAATGGAACAATACAATTTGATAGACAATTACATTGTGCATCTGATTCACGTCAAATATATAGGGTGTTCCATTTAAATTAAACAAGTTATTGCCGTTTAAAGCTAGTAATTATTTAATATAAATTTTTGGACACTCTGTATAATGTAGTAAAGTTTTTATTACTGCAACACAATATCTGATCAATAAATAATCTTCAGTAAATATTTAGTATTAAAAACTTTGATACCCTGGGAGAAATAAAGCCTTTTAATAAAAAATAAAAATTTTTAATGCAATTTCATAAAATTAAAAATATCTCATAAACGGTAAGGTTTAAGTGTGATAAACCTTAATCAAATTTACCTTTATTTCAATCGTAGAATCCAAAAATAGAATAATATACAGGGTGTTCCATTTAAAAAAATACAACTATAATATTTTTTACTTATTTGGGACACTCTGTATCTTGTAAAAATATTTTTAGATTGTAGCTCTAATAGTCCTTCAACGAACCCAACACTTACAATTTGTAAAAATCTAATCGTTTAGCTACAATACTCCGTGTCGTATGTGGTGAACAACCCTGTATATATATTTATTTTTTTTTATCACATTTTTCGTAGAATTCAACTAAATAAATTTTGTGCTTCTTTAACATTTTAAAACAGCAAAAAACACGACGTTAATTAAAATTCTATTAATAACAATCTCTCAAAGAATCGAAATGATATTAGAAACTCCGTTTGATTTTAAGACAAAACAAAATCAACTATATTTTCATGTTTTTTTTAATTTCTCTAAAACGGTATGAAAATTTGGAAAAGTATAAACGGGATTAACCATTTTAGAACAATCAAAAATATTTATGAAGAATACATTTATCTCAAAATGTCAATAATAAAAAAAGTTTTCCTCTTGTAAAGATAATCCGGGGACATACTGTATATCTAATATCCTAATAAAAAAAAACTTGTTTACAACAAACTCCCTGTTTTTCTAATCTCATATTTTCTCCTCCTCCTCCTTTTTTATCTCCAAATCTTTATATCCTCCTTCCAATCCAGTCACATGTACCGGGTGGCCAATTAAGAATGGACGCCGGCTGTATCTCAGAAACTACTGATCGTATAACTTTGGGAAAAAAAATTCTAATAAGTAAATCGATCAAGAGAAATCGCTGGAAATTATTTTCAAGTTCGAAAAATGTCCGCTAGTGGGCGTCTCGCTGATAGCCAATCAGAAAACGGGGTTTTTCTCAAAAATATGCAGGTGAACAGGTATTTTAAATATTACTATTATAATCGTCGAGAAATTTCTAATTTTTTTGATATAGAGTGTTTTGTTCTATCTCATAAATTAAAGTGGTGGGGGAAGGTTAAACTTGCTTTTATTAAAATAAGGATAACTCTGGTTTAGGTTAACCGATTTAAACAAACTAGAGCTCGTTTAAAAGAGATTTTCTTCCTTATTGATCTCCAGTTTAAATTTTGTTTCCATCATTTTTTTTTGTGGTAGCTAGAGGGCGCTATTTGACATCATAACAGATATTGCGCTTTTGCATAAAAAAATTAAATAGGAGGCTATATTTCTGTTTGCACAGTTAAATAGAGCACAAAATTTCCAAAATATCAGCGCAAACCGCAACTTTCTATTTTCTCTCTAACCAGAGATATTAAGAGAAAAAATCATGTTAGGCTGCCGCTTAGGATTATATGGTCTAAAAATTAGAGATTTTTCGTACTTGAAAATAATTTCCACCGATTTCTCTTGGTCGATTTACTTATAAGAATTTTTTTCCCAAAGCTATACTAAAAGTAGTTTCTGATATACAGCCGGCGTCCATTCTTAGTTGGCCACCCGGTAACCATTTTACTAAATATATACTATTACAGCACAAGACACGCCCCCAAATACGTCATTGGAAAATATAATCTATCTCAGCACATTCCTCCAAAATCTAAACGTTTGCAGCACAACAATACGTCGTTGGAAAATTTAATTTTATGTTCATTTCACGTGTGTCAGGCTGTGTGGAGATGGTTGTGGGATGCAAAAAATCACATAGATATTAAAGAAAGAAAAAAACTTATGATGGAATTCCGTTATATACTTTATGCACAAAGTGAAGAAGAAGCAGAGGAATTATTTGGTACCTTATGTCAAAAATGCAAATACCCAAATTTTATCAACTATCTTAAAAATTTGTGGGAAAGAAGGAAAGAAGGAACGACTTTTATAGAAAATCATTGTGTACTAAAGGACACAACACAAACAACTTTGTTGAAGCATCTACCAGAGTACTGAAAGATATTATACTGGAAAGATGTAAATCCTTTAATGCTGTGGTATTAGATTTTATAACCAATATTCTGGAATGTTACCATAAAAGACGTCTGATATCATTTGCTAGCAACAGAAAAACGAAAATTAATTTAAACTACTTAAAATTTAAAGATAAAATTAGAAATCTAACAGTTAAGAAAATAGATAATGAAACTTTTTTAGTTTCTTCAGCTGAAGACAAAAATATGCATTATACTGTTCTAACAAATTCCGCCTTATGCAATTGCGCTAGTGGAACAGGAGGGGCCTTTTGCAAACATTTATGTGCTGTAGAA